CTGTAAATAGCGTCTTTCTCTCCATGGCTCCAGCCTGGAATCCGGGCTGCCCTCCTGTTCCTCACCATCCCTCTTGTCCCAGGTCTGGTCATCTCCCGAGGCCACCCCTGCTGTCCCCTCCACCCGTCCCATGCTTGCCCAGGCCGCTGGCGTCTTTGCCCTGGACAGCTGCATTCCTGCCCACGGGTTTCCTGCCTTCTAGTCTTCCTTCCCTCTGCTCCACTTTTCCACAGAGCACCACAGCGGCTTTGTACCAGGCCAATGAGTTTGTGTCCCCTGTGATGAAAATCCCCATCATGTGAACCCGAAGGTCCTTGTCCCCCATCCAGCTCGTCTCCTGCCCTCCTCGCCCAGCTTCCCGCAGCCCAGCCCCAGCCTTCACGCTCGCTGCTCCCTCTGCTGGGAATGCTTCCTCTGATTGTCACACGGCTCTTTTCTCATCACTGAGGCTCAGCTTAGAGGCCACCTCCTCAGGGAGGCCTTCCCTGACCACCTGCCCTCACTGTCCCTCCGTCACAAGACCCTATTCTATTGTTTGCACGGTGTGCTGTGTCCCCGGGGGCCAGGATGGTACCTGGCGGGGTCGACGCTCCGTATCCACTCATTGCATGCGTGAATGAATATGCTTTCTGGGTCTGCGTCTTCATGTATAGGATGGAAATGATGGCGCCTGGGCTCCTGCGGGGAGTGGTGACCCACCGGGACGGCGCAGGGCGAGCCTCAGAGATGCTCAGGGAAGTAGGAGGGAAGTGTTAAGGAGAGAAGCATCGTTAAGGGAAGTGTCTCCGAAAAGTTCTGCCAAGAAGATAATTGTCAGCGAAAATGATATTCTTGCTGATGCCGTGGCCCTCAAAAGAATGCACATTGCTTCTGTATCTATATTCGCTTGACTTTATATTTAAAAGGATGCAGACACACCTCCATGTATTATGTAAGACACTTCAGAAAGGAGCTCGGGCCACTAGCACCGTGCCAGGGAGCAGCCAGGCTCCTCGTTAGCAACTCCTCTGGGTCACAGATTTGCCTTTTTCTCCCTTTCTGAAGCTCCAGTTTTTCATTGAACCCTTGCAACCTCGGCTGCCTCATCTGTGAAATGGGCCTGCTGTCAGCCTCTGGCAGGGATGCTGTGAGCATCGAATCAGAAGGGACAGGCGGATCTGTTTTCTGAGCTGCAGAGCACGCACATGTGCATGTGCACTCATATGCATGCATGCATGCACACACATACAGATGCACACGTGAGCACGCACACACACAGGGTAGAATTGTTATGAAGCCCAGTGAACCACTTGCCCTTTAATTTTGCAGTAGCCATCTGGCACGTGATCTCACTTGGAAATCTGGTAAATATTAGAGTGGTGGGCTGTGTGTCGAGGGGTTGGCTAATATTGACTCCAAGTCATTGGCAGTGCCTGGCAAGGACCGATTCTTAGCGGTTTATAGGAAACATCCTTTAGGATGAGAATTTTCAGTGAAAGTCCTTGTGAGCAATATGGAGCGCGTACAAGGAACTGCAGAGTTCGGGGGCTGGGGTGGGGCGTCACCAGCCCCACCCCAGAGGAGCTCTTGAATTCTGGATTCTGATTGCCCAGTTGCTCCCAGCTGGGTGGTCCCTCCAGGCCGCTCACTCACCCCTGGAGCTGGACTAGGGTGCACTTGGGACCCAGTGCAAATTCAGTTCAGGGTGAGATGCCCGGGCAGCCCTCACGTCCCCTGAGCCCGTCGTGGGGTCTCCCCTGCTTGCTGCCCCAGGGGAAGTGCACTCCCTTCTCTCCGACCTGCCCCCCCCACACCCCAGGTGCTGACCTGCCGAAATTCCTCCATCCTCCCAGCCCTGCGTACCCTTCTCTGCCTCAGTTCTCGCAAATACTTTCTCCTTTTCTCCTCTCTTCTCTCCACAAACTTTTTTTCTCACTGGGGCATGATAATGCTGTTGTTTTAATTAATCTAACTAATTTTCTTTGGATTGTAAGTAACAGAACTCAACTAGGGGTAATTCAAGTGGAGAGTGAGGATGCTGGCTCGGGTTCTGGAAGCACAGGCAGGGGTGGGGAGGGCTGGAGCAGGACCGGAAAGTGCAGGGGCCTGTGTTCTAATAAAACTTTATTTATAAAACCATCTGGGCCGGAGTTGGTGCCCCCGGGCTGCAGTTTGAGAGTCATGAATAAAATGACAAGACCCCAGCCAGGTCCTGACCTGCCTGTCCCAGGTGTGTGGCTCAGGCTGGGTTTGAAGGGCGTGTCACCACTTGAGCTAACGCTGGGGCTTTCTTTTTAAATCCTGGGTTTAATTGTACCCCAAATAGGAAAAATGTGTTTCCTGAGCCTAGTTACATCTTTTTAGATTTTGTTAAACACTTTTAGCTCCACAAAGCATTACATGAACGCGTGCTCGTGGAAAAAAGGCGAGCAGTGCAGGGAGGGCTCAGCTTCTCCCGTGGTCTCTGCTCCTGAACCGTCCTCTGCCACCCGTCAGATCCTTGCCCGTCCTCACACACTGGCAGCTTTGTTTCTAGACACCCTGGGCTCCTGGCGTGCGTTTCTCTCTGCTGCTCTTCTCCCCCAGCCTTCACCTCCTCGTGCGCTTCCTGCAGTCACATGGAGGCCAGCCTGCTCGCCCGAGGCCCACGGCTCCACATCCCTCTGCCCCTCCCCGAAGCACAGACTCCCCCGTGCCCTGGTCCCCAGGCCCCGTCTTCACCCCAGAGTGGTCCGTGGAGGGCAGCCCTGTCCAGGCCTCAGACGGGACCTGAAGCAGCGTGCGTCCCTAAGCCCACAGGTGACCTTCACACGCACAGTGACCGAAGGCAGCCGTGGGGCATGGCTGAGGTCCCAGAACCCTGGTGGCCTGAGAGCCCAGAGGCCAGTTAATCCTTCTCTGCAGAACTCAGATCTACCCTGCCCTGTCCGTGTTTAATAAGCAGCCCACCCCTCTCAGATGCCTCCGCGCATTGCAGCTTGTGGAGTAAGGGGCCTCCGCCTGGCTTCTGTCTGCTCCCTTCACAAGTGGGTTCTTCCCTCCACACGTCATCAAGAGGTGGGAGCCCCGTGGGCCACTCCCCCGGGTCATAACATCGCGGCAGCTCCAGCTGGCAGCTGACGGCTCACTCTGCTTTGGCAGACCCAGCTGTGCTCTTGGCTGTGCCTTCCTCCGTGTGGAGTGGAAACCGTCTGCCCGTGTGGCAGCTCGCTCTCTCCTTCTGTCCCTCTGTGAGTGTGTGTGTGTGTGTCTGTCTCTGCCTATCTCTGTCTCTCGCTCTGTCTCTGTCTCTATCTCTATCTCTGTGTGTGTGTGTGTCTCCCTCTGTCTGTCTCTCTATCTCTGTCTCTCTGTGTCTGTTTCTCTGTCTCTGTCTGTGTCTGTCTGTGTCTCTCTCTCTCACTCCCTCTCTTGCTTGCTTCCCTTTTTTGCTATATAACATGTTTTTTGAGATGTAATTCACACACTGTAAATTTACCCATCTAAAATCTGCAGTTCACTGGTTTTTAGTCTGTTCGCAGTTGTGGCCCCATGACCATAGTCAAACTAGAACATTTCGTCCCCCCAAACAGAGACCCGTAAGGGTCACTCCCCATCACCCTCCAGCGCCCCAGCCCTGGGCAGCCGCTCACCCACTGTCCATCTCCTTGGATTTCCAGCTTTCGTCTGCATCCTGCTTCTCCACCAGGTCCTGTAACCTACGCCATGTGCGCTCGCCGAGGCCCCTGCCTGTCCCCAGACAGCCGGTCCCCTCTGGTCCGAGGTGGGGCCGCTGGCCTGTCGTTTTAAGCAGCTCCCTGGGTGGGAGCCCCTGGTTGGTTACTTCCTTACTCCTTCGGTCAGCGGTAGCGAGTGTCGAGCCTGGGGCATCGTGCCTCCCGTCTCTATGCTGGGCGCCGTAGGCAACGATGGGACAGCCCAGAGAGGCCCAGTGCCGGGGTTTGGCTGTGACTTGTGCTGGCGGCCGTCGGCACAGAGTCCACGGAGAAGGTGCCCGGCCCGTGGCAGCCGCCCGGCTTTCTGATGCACCATGGCCAGCCTTCACGCCATCTTCTAGATGCTCTTTGAAAAACGTCGTTGACTCATTCTAAACAGCCCAGCCCCGTTTATTAGGCAAAGTATTCTTAGAACCAGTGTCGCTACTTCAGTATGTCGCCACCTGTCATTTTATTTGTAGGAATTTGTCCCCAACTTCCAGGGTTGGCGGAAGTTCTCTGTCAGCCCCTCTGCACAAATGGCAGATGCTCTGTCACTGGACAGGAATAGATTTATTGTCATTGTAAAAATACGCAAGAAACGACTGTGGCCTGCCTTTTAAAAACACTAAAAAGTGCAAGTATGGAAAATAATAAGAAAAGATTCCTGCCGTTCACTCCCCCATCCTTTTTTCTTCCTGGAAAAGTAAATTCTCTGAACTGGCACATGCCCTTCCAGACTTATTCTTTCCCTTTTCTATGACGTAGATTCTGAGCTTTTAAAACGTAAATGAGATTAAGCTAGGTTATTGTTCTGAGACTTGCCTTTTCTACTTGGAAGTTCTTGGGTGTATTTCTTGTCGGTTTTTATCAATCCGCTTTGGTTTTTTCCTACAACCGCCTAGGCGAAGAATGTTTCAGAATGAGTCCCACTTTCCTTACTTTAGAACATTTTTGCCGTCTCTAGGTTTTCTCTTCTTTTCTTTTTGTGTTTCACTGATTATATATTTCATCCACATGTGCAAGACTTTCTGTCGAATTCAGTCTTAAAATGTGGAATCATTTGGCCGTGGGGGTGTGTGTATTTTAGATTTTTATGGATCTTGCCAAGTTGCTGTCCAAAACGTTGCAGTCAAGCTTCACCTGACAGCATCCAGGGACCCGCTTAACTTCATCCTCGCCCCCTCGATGAACGAGAAACGCCCTCCTTTGAACTTTGCGTTTCCATTTCTCTGAGTTCCAGTGAGCCTCAGCCTCTGAGCGGGTTTCTTTAGAGACGGTCTGTGCCAACGTGGTCCAAACAGATTTCTTCTTTTCAATTTGCAGGACAGCTGTGCGAGGGTGCTGCTCTTTCGAGGCGGAAATAAGGAATTGAAAAACTACAACAGCCAGACTCCGTTCCAGGTAAGAAAGAGTTCTCAGAGACAGGGAACGCCCGCGTGTGCGTTATTGCGAGCGGTGGCTTTGGGTTTCTGCATATCCTGCCTGTCTGTGTGCGTGGTGTGAGGCCGGCCCGTTGCGTTGGGGATGCTGTCTGCGTTTGGGGGCTGTGCCCTGCACCTCCATCCCTCCATCCCTTATCACTGGGGCCGCTGACATATTTCAGTTTGCCTGTTCACCACTGGCTCCCTGCCCATTGGACCCAACAGCGTGAATAATGCGGCGATTTGTCTCTGTGGGGTATTCATTCAAGAAGGCCGCTTTGGAGAGGAACAAAGACATGGGTGCTGTTAATCGTGCAGCTGTTGGAAAATGCTGGCGTCGCTGCCCATCCTTTGAATGGGAAGAGCTCTGTGAGAATCTCATGGGGACGTGGCTTGTCATCCATCTGCCACCCGCGCTGGGTCCGTTCTCCCACAGTGGAGGGCAGACAGCCTCGACCTGGCGTTGGCTAGGGCGTTCCCAAGTGATGCACTCAAGCCAGGGTCCTCATTGTTTTTGAGTTGTGTTCCAATATGTATCACACAAAATTTGCCATTTTAACCATTTCAAAGTGTATGGTTCAGGGGCCTATTCTGGACATTTCTTAGAAACGGAATCACATAGTATATGGTCTTTTGTGTCTGGCTTCTTCCATTTAGCGTCGTGTTCTCAAGCGTCGTCCGTGTGGTAGCGTGGGTCAGTGCTTCATTCCTTTTAACGGGTGGATAGCATCCCATTGTATAAATATGGGCTCCTCTAACTTTAATGCAGCTGACCGGATGGTTAGGGTGACAAAAGTTTTTTTCAGATCGCTGTTCTAAGTTGTAGAAATACTTTCTGATGCTAAACACAGTCCGATATCTGCCCTTGAACTGAAAACTGAAGTGACCAGGATTCTTATTCGGACATTACTTTTCTGTCTTATTGAGGTGAGGGAGAGATCTTTGATTAGAACTGGCTCCCATGGGTCTTTGTACTCGTACGCTTCTTACATGTTCCTACACATCCGGGCTTGCGGTCTTGACAATGAGCCAGTTCAATCCAAAAACTGGGCTGGACGTTTAATAACCACCGTTGGAAAGTTTCCTCGGTCCTTTAAAATGGTGGCCGGCCTGGAATTTAGTCTTGAATCTTCCCACTTGCAGATGGTAACAGCCCCTGGTTTGCTGTCACGTGTATAAAGGTTAGAGTTACTGTCCAAGAAAATCTCTCCTTTCCAGTGGTGATGACGAGGGAGACGTGGTCCCTTCCGTTGCATCGAGGGACCGAGTCTGCTCCTTTGGGCTTAGCTTTGGGTTGGCGGTCTTCGTTTAAAGATTTTTTTTTTTTTTTTTGCCGCTCCATAATATATTTCTTTGATCCTTTATTTCTTTTAAGTCAAAATGTTGCTTAAATTGCTTAGCAAACAGCAGCTCATGCCTTTTGATTTGTGGTATGTGCTCAGATAGTACAAAAGAGTCACTTCTCACTCTTCTGGGCAGTGGCTTGTGACTGCCACCTGGTTCTCCAGGGAAGTGAGTCGTGCGTGGCGTCCAGGACGGAAGGTCCCTGTAGGAGGCCTGCCTGTCCGTCCCCACCCCGTCCCCTTACCCCGGGCAGTGATCACCTGGGATGGGGACACCCCTCTTACGGGAGTCATGGCAGGATGCTCAGGATACCCTCCCGCAGCGGACCCACACCAGCCCCAGCCCAAGGCCATCTGTCTCTATTTTGCTAAGGATAATCAATCGAGTGCCACAAATGGTTCTGGGAGACAATTATGCAAAGCGCACTAGAATAATAGGACTTTGTATCCTGCAAACGTGGCTCCTGTAACCAGCAGAAATGAAAGCCTGGGTTGCTCGCTCTGCACTCCCAGAATGGGCTTCAACTGCGCGCTGGGAGCTGGTTTCCCCACCTTGTACCGCCCGCCTCATCGTGTTTTAATGATGCGAAGAGACTTAATTTAGTCTACAGATCCTTGCCTGTAAAATACCCCCAGGTTTCGTTTCTCATTCACAGTTCCTCCCATCCCAATCCTAAAAAAGAAACCGCTTCCTGTCGAGTTTACGGGAGAATGGTGTCTTGCCGCATCGTTTCACAGGGATCAGATATGTTCACCTGGAAAATGTCGGTGGTGCTCCGCTGCTGTTGTGGGTGCCAACTTTTCTAAGAAAGCTTGGAATTTTTGGCGGAGCTCATCTGGCCAAGCTTTTGCTTAATGATTTAATCCAAATGCTGGGCCAGCTGCATCAGCGAAATTTAGTCACTTGAGAGAAACGCAGCTCTCAGGCTGCCCCCCACCCCACTGCAGCAGAGCTCTGGGGCGGGGTCTGGTGCCGTGTGCTAGTGACCCCTCCAGAGTTTCTGATGCCCACTCAGGGGCGAGACTCGAAGGAGGGACAGAGGTGGTCTTTTGAGGAGGAGGAGGAGAGGCACTTACAGCATTGCTGGGGCGCATCTTAAATAGTGATGACGATGCTGGTGATTCTGTGAATCTGCTCGGCGCCAGAACAGAACGCCACGGACTGGGCGGCGTAAACAGCGCTTATTTCTCACAGTTCTGGAGGCTGGACGTGCGAGAAGAAGGTGCCGGCAAATTTAGTTTCTGCTGGAGGCTCTCCTCCTGGCTCGCAGACGGCCACCTCCTCGCTGGCCCTTCCTCTGGGCACATGTGCAGACACAGAGCTTTCTCGTATTTCTCCCTCTTCTTGTAGGAACAATTCTGATTAAGGCTCCACCCCATGACCTCGTTTAACCTTAATTACCTCCCTACAGATTCCATCTCCAAATATCATCACAGTGGGGGTTAGGGCTTCAAAATACAAGTTTTGGGGGAGACGCAATTCAGTTCGTAACAGTGATGATGGAGGTTATGATGATGGTGGTGATGGTGGTGATGATGGTGGTGATGATGATGACGATCATGACAATGGTGATGACAGTGATGATGCTGGTGATGGTGATGATGGTGGTGATGATGATGATGACGATCATGACAATGGTGATGACAGTGTTGATGGTGATGATGGTAGTGATGATGGAGGTTATGATGATGGTGGTGATGGTGGTGATGATGGTGGTGATGATGATGACGATCATGACAATGGTGATGACAGTGATGATGCTGGTGATGGTGATGATGGTGGTGATGATGATGACGATGATGACAATGGTGATGACAGTGATGACGCTGGTGATGGTGATGATGGTGGTGATGATGATGATGACGATCATGACGATGGTGATGACAGTGATGATGCTGGTGATGGTGATGGTGATGGTGGTTATGATGATGGTGCTGATGGTGACGATGGTGATGAAGGCGGTGATGGTCCTGCTGACGGTGGCCATAATGGTGACAGCGGTGGTGATGATCGTGGTGATGATGACGATTAGGGTATCGGTGATGACAGTGGTCGTGATGAATCTCTCCAGTTGCACAGAATTTTAAAGCTCACCAATGCTCATATATGTGTTCTCATTTAACGTACCACAACCCAATGAGATGGGCATTTATATCCCCAATTTATAGTAGAAACGGAATTATAGAGAGATGGATGCCGAGGCTTCCAAAATCAGTAAGGGGCCCAGTCTGGGGTCTCCAGGCCTCCTGACTTCCAGTCCGAGGCTCTGGGCTCTGGAGGGAGGAAGACACTTGCCCTGGTGTGTTTACCTTTCTTGCATCCTGGCGTGGAGTGAACGACGTCAGGAATCCTTGTGCTTTTTAGATTGCTCCGTCCGAGGGAGCAAACATATCCTGATTCTGCAGATAAAGACGGAGTGGAAAGAAGTCCACGGAAGCGTAAGCTCTAAGTGAGGGAGGGAGCGCAGGAGGGAGAGGGGTGGAAACGGCTGCCGATGGCTCGTTTGCTGTGCAGGCTGGCTCGGCGCTGCTGCCCGGCTCTGTAATCACACGCCAATGCAGGTGTGCTGTGAAGCTGTTTCACAGATGTGGCTCACATCTTCAGTCAGTTGATTTGCAGTAAAGAGAGGAACTCTCCGTCATGTGGGTGGGCCTCCTCTAATCAGTTGGAGGCCTTAGGAGCAAAACCTGACGTTTCCCCGAGAAGAAGGGATTTGGTCTCAAGACTCTAACATAGAAAGCTTGCCTGAGTCTCCAGCCTGCCGGCCCGCCCCACAGACTTCAGACTTAGAACCGCACAATCGCATGAGCCAATTCCTTAAGATAATCTGTTAATATGTGTGTGTGTGTGCAGACACACACGCCCCATGTCTGTTTCCCTGAAGACCTCTGGCTGATACACAGAATTGATTTGAGTGCTTCCTGCCTCCCAGCAGCTCCCTTCTGAAAGGGGCGCCCGTGGTTTTTGGAGGTATCGAGGTGACTTTCTCCCCACACATGTCACTGCTGTATCCGTCTCTGGATTGTATTCTGCAGCTGCTGATCTGACGTCCAGGAGCAGAGAGAGGGAGGAGAAAACAGGAGAAAAGGGCGAGGCAAGGAGAGGCCTTCTGAGCTGTCTAATGTGCGGGGCACGTGAGGGTGAGATCGGTGGGAGGGGACAGCGAAGTCCTGGCCTCGGAAGGCTTTTTGGGGAAAGTTGGGCTCAGTAGCGCTGGCCGCCCTTCAGCGGGTGCGAGCTCTTTGCCCGCCCTGGATGAAGCCTCGTCTGTGATGCAGGCTCTGCTGTCGCCTCCGCTGACGAACAGGTGGGTGAACGGCCTGGGTCGCACAGCTCGTGGGGGACAGTGTTTGTTGCACACGGCCGCCCGACCCCATGCTCCTCCTTGAGCGTCGCGCTGGATGAGAAAGGAGGAGGAGAAAGGGCAAAGCCGGAAACAAGGAGTATTAAATTCCTGGGGTCTCGGGCCGTAAATGGTGCCTGCCCCGCGCGGCAGAGCTGGGTGGTCCCGGGTGCCAATGACTCCGTGGGTGACGGTTCTTTTCCCTCAGGCCCCTCGCTGCGATTCACTCTCCGATCCCCAGGATGTGGCCTCGCTGCTGTCGCACGTTCTCTGGGGGGATGCTCGACTCGTGA